AAATGGACATACATATTCCTTAATCTACTCCTCTCCAAGGGCATGTTTTTATTTGATAGTAAGGTATTTTACTTTAACTCATACAAAAAATTGTTAACATTTATGGGGTGCCATGTTATATTTTAATATGTATATGCATCGTTAATGTTCAAATCAATTGAACTATTTCTGTGTCTGCAAATAGGTATCATTTATTTTGGTGATAACTTTCAAAACTTCTAACTGTTTAAAAAAATTTATGTATTTTATTTTATTTATTTGAAAGTCAGAGTTACACAGAGAGAAGGAGAGGCAGAGAGAGAGAGAGAGAGAGAGAAAGAGAGGTCTTCCATCTGATGGTTCACTCCCCAGTTAGCTGCAATGGCCAGAGCTGTGCCAATCCGAAGCCAGGAGGCAGGAGCTTCCTCCAGGTCTCCCACACTGGTGCAGGGGCCCAAGGGCCTGGGCCATCCTCACTGCTTTCCCAGGCCATTGCAGAGAGCTGGATTGGAAGTGGAGCAGCCAAGTCTTGAACCGGTGCCCATATGGGATGCGAGCACTTCAGGCTAGGGCATTAACCTTCTGCGCCACAGCGCTGGCCCCTTATGTATTTATTTGAAGTTCAGAGTTACACAGAGAGAGGAGAGGCAGAGAGAGGTCTTCCATCTGCTGGTTCACTGCCCGATTGGCTGCAGGGGGCGGAGCTGTGCCGATCTGAAGCCAGGAGCCAGGAGCTTCTTCTGGGTCTCCCACACAGGTGCAGGGACCCAAGGACTTGGGTCATCTTCCACTGCTTTCCCAGGCCATAGCAGAGAGCTGGATTGGAAGTGGAACAGCCGGGACTTGAACTGGTGCCTATATGGGATGCTGGCACTGCAGGCGGTGGCTTTACCTGCTATGCCAGAGCGCTGACCCCAAAACTTCTAACTTTTAAAAAATTATCATTATCCGTAGAGCAAAATTGGAGATGGGCATAGGAGCTCATGTGATGCAACAGTTAACCTTATTTTAGGTTGAACATCTCTAATCTGGAAAGTGAAATTTGAAATCCTCCAAAATTCAGAACTCTTTTAGTACCAACATGATGCCACATGGAAAAAATTTCATATTCGACCTCATGTGTAAAATTACTTTAGGCTCTGTGTATATATGGAACATAAATGAGTTTCATGTTTAGACTTGGTCCCACTTCTTAAGAAATCTCAGCATATGTAGGAAAACAAAAACAAATCTGAAACAGTTTCGGTCTCAGATATTTTTGGTAAGGGATATTCAACCTCCTGATAAAGGAGAATGCAGAATGAAATTTGCATCTGAAGCTAGATAGGCCTGTTATTCTGTACTGAGCCCCAGCTTTACCCTTACTGAGTAGAGCAGTGCTGGGAAACCAGAGTTCTTCCGCAGAAGAAAGCCACTTGCCAAAAATAGTTTAGCAGAGAACCTGTATGTTTGGCGAATAACTGGTTCTGAAAGAAGGAGCGTCAGAGATTGATGAATGGATGCACTTAATTCTTTTTTCTAGTCCAACAGTTAAATTAGATAAATCATTGTCTTTCATGTGGGGAAGAATTGAGTTACAATGTTAGAGGTTATGTACGGCAATATACTAGGACAATAGTTTCAAACTTTATTATTATCATTATTATTTAAGATGTATTTATTTTGAAGACCAGAGTTAGAGGGAGAGATCTTCCATCTGCTGCCCTCACCCCCACCCCAGATGGCCACAATGGCTGGTGCTGGACCAGACCCAGGTCCAGAGCCAGGAGCTTTATTTGGGTCCCCCATGTGGGTGGCAGAGACCAAATACTTGGGCCATTTTCTGCTGCTTTTCTCAGGCCACCAGTAGTGAGCTGGATTGGAAGTAGAGCTGCTGGCACATGAACATATGCCTATAAGGGATTCTGGTATTGCAGGCTTTGGCTTAACCTGCTATGCCACAACACTGGCCTCAATATTGTTTTTTCTTAGTTTTATTTGAGAAGGGGCCAGAGAGTAAAAAAGAGTGCATCCCCATTCCCTAGTTCACTCTACAAGAGCCTGTAGTGGCTAGGGCTGAGCTAAGCCAAAGCTGGGAGCCAGGTGTTCTATCAATTTCTCCCACCTGAGTGGTAGGAACCCAGGTTCTTGAGTTATTATTGCTGTGTTCCGAGTGGCATTAGCAGGAATCAGGAACAGAGTCAGAACTCAAATCCAGGCAATCTGATTTGGGTTGCAGGTGTCCTGACCAGTTTCTTAACATCTAGACCAAATGCCTGCCCCATCAGACTTTTTTTATTGTGATCCAGTTTAAATCATACATTTTGGTATGAGCTACTGCTGCTGCTGCTGCTACTATTGCTACTACCACACACACACAGTTCATGGAATACTGCTTATGCTTACGACATTAATACACTCCAATATTTTCTAATCTACTTCATTACAGAAGATACTAGTCATGACCTTATATGTTGGTTTTCTATCACGGAAGTTGGGATCCTTACAGTTAGATAAATTAAATTGGTTTTAGCAGGTGTACTGTGTACTGTCATATGTGAACAGGAACTAGAACCTTTTACTTCTTTATACAATAATGTCAGTTCTACCTCAAACCTGACTAGTTGATCGTTGGAAGCTGTGGCATTGTTCTTAACTTGAGAGAAAATTACCTGTATCAACATTGCTTAGGACATAAAATCTCAAATCTGTTCATTTCTTCCGTGCTTCTCAACTACTGTGAAAGAAAAACTGTGTATAATTGCCTGAAGGATCTTTGTGCTCTATATTCTTAAGTTTTTGTTTGAGCTAGGCCACTCGGGAGGTGTATTTTTTTTTTTAAATTTTTTTTTTATTTGAAAGAGTTACAGAGAAAGAGATAGAGATAGAGAGAGAGGTCTTCCATCTGCTGGTTCACTCTCCAGATGGCCACAATGGCCAGAGTTGCACTGATCCGAAGCTGGGAGCCAGAAGCTTCTTCCAGATCTCCCACGTGGGTACAGGGGCCCAAGCACTTGGGCCATCTTCTACTGTTTTCCCCGGCCATAGCAGAGAGCTGGATCAGAAGAGGGGCAGCTGGGACTAGAATGCCGGCTCTTCAGATCAGGGCTTTAACCCGCTATGCCACAGCACCGGCCCTGGGAAGTGTATTCTTGTACTATTCCGTTCTCTACCCCTGTGGAACGGCTCTTGCTGAACTTTAGTTAGGTGTCACTCCAGAAGGCCCCTCTGAAAGAGTGTGAGACAGGACCTTGTTCCCTCAGTGGAATTCTTGACTGATGTCTCACTCTGTGTCAGCCATCTTTGGAAAGATTCGAGGGTGAATTCGCTCTGCTTTTCAGGATTAAGAATTGTGTGTTTTTCCTTAGCACTGTTTTGTTTCGGACACAGTGGTTCATGCAATGTATCACGTTGCCCTATTTATTATGACAGCTAGAAAGTTGAAAGCTCAAATTTGGACCTGCATTTAGCAGCAAGTTTCTTTACTGACCTTATTATCTTGTTTGCTTCACCCTCCTTACTTCTCTGTTAGTCCTAAATTTCTCTTACCTTTAAAGACTCTTTGTTTTATCTTCCACTTCAAGTCCCTAAAGTAAGACTATTTGTAATAGCTACTCTTGAAATTGGATTTAAAACCAAATAAATTTGTTGGACTAGAAGACTATGATCATAAGTTTGTGAATTTGATAGATTTCTTGAGATTTGATTGTTTTTTAAAATTATGAATACTTTTGTTAAAAAGCATGATTAAATTTATTTGAGTGAATTAATTTGTATGCTGCTGTTACTTTTAAAATGTGTGTATTGAGATAAAACATGATTTATTTTGGGTAATTAAATAAATAGACCTTGGTAAATTCCTGAAATCTTTTCTGGGATGAAGTTGAATACAAAGTAGTTAATACTAGAATTAAAATGTTTTTTGTTATTTCAACATAACCATGAGGATAAAATGATAAAAATCTTAACTGATGTGCTTACATTTAAAATATATGAAATTGAGTTACATGGAGGGCTTTTATATTGTTAAAACTGAGAATGGGATCTCACAAGTAAATCCCCATGTTTCTTGAACTCAGTATCATTTGTCACACAACTGTGTTTTTAGTAAAAATAAGCTTAATGTGTCATTGTAAACGTTACGTATTCGTTGTTTAAAATATTACATCAATTTGAAGGAAAAATATATTTTGATTTATAATTATATGTTAGCCATTTATATGCTTAGAACTACACATTATTAGCAAACTTCAAGATGATCTGATGCTATAAATTATATTTCAAATAGTTTAAAAATAATTTAAGCATGAGAACTTAATGAAGCAGAGTTAGACATGGCGTTGTCTTAGGACAATATGAATTTTTTATTGTAAAATTGAGTGTAAATAACTACCTTCTTGAGAAATTTTGAATTAGAAGTTCAGGAAGAAATAGGTAAGTGGCATTTCAAGCAATGCTATAAGATTGGTGTGAAATCTGTTTATAATGTACAAACTCTGTGCATATTTTTGGTCATGATGTGAATAACAGGTTAAGGTACAGAACTGGAGCGGGTATCATGAGCACCAGCCTGGGGAAAAAGTAGGTTTTTGGAAAACTGTAATGCCAGTCTTGTAAAGCCTTGTTAAATATATTACAATGTGTACAGCTTAGCTTTGTGTTCACTGTTTCAGGGTCATTTAAAGATTAATGAAAGTATATTAGATAATAGTTAAACTTATTTTGAATTCCCTCCTCATCCACCACCACCTTGAAACTTTCTTGAATAATTTCCTATTCACTAAACTTTAGTTTTGGTTTTTATCAGTTTCATATGAGAGTAATCAGTTCTGGTACACAACTATATTTAGTTTGGGTTAATCTTCTTTAAGTTCGTTTATAAAATGGAGTTTCTGTATTTTCCATAAACATTAACAAAGTGTGCTGGAATATCACTGGTCTTAGAATGGAACAGAAAGAAAAAAGTTTTATCCCTATAGCATTTCCTAAGTTGCATCTCTATGTTCACTAAAACTTCTTAACATTTTGATCTATTTTTGTAGGATTCATGCTTGAACCAGATCCAGAACGTAGACCGGATATTTTTCAGGTGTCATATTTTGCATTTAAATTTGCCAAAAAGGATTGTCCAGTCTCCAACATCAATGTAAGTAGTTTTCCCAGTACCGTATGAATTTAAATTTCATTTTATCATGTGTGGATTTATGAACTTTGAGAGTTACCTGTTCCATGGCAAGTGGTCCGCTGGCATGTTTACAGTTATATTTTTGGTGTAAAACCACACTTCCCAGACTGTGTGCACTGAGGCGCCTTGGAGAGCTATAGCAGACTCCGGGATCGCTGTATATTTTACGTTTTCGTGGGAACCATAGTGACATCTGTCTGGCTCAGTACAGGCTATGTTTATTAAGTTGTTTGGGCTAAAACATTTAATAAACAGGATTATTCACTTTTGTTTTTCCCAGAAGATGTCATGAAAAATTATGCTAAATGCTCTGTTAACTGAGAGTCTTTGGGAAGCTTTGGTATAAAGAGCACATGCATTACAAATGGAGAGCCCTGGGTTTCATTCTGTCTTATGAGTGACTGATTTTAAATCTTTGGGGGAGGTTACTTAATATGCATGTCTTTTTTCTATAAAGTGAGGATAGTAGTGATAAGAGTTACAGCTGATAAATGTAAAACTCAGTGCCAAGTCCATCACCATTGCTCAGTTGGCAATAGCTAACAGCATGCAAATGCTCTGAGTTGTGTTTGCTGCTGCATAGGGCACCTCACTACTTCAGATGAACTGTGTATGGCAAGTCTTTGCTAATTTTAATCGCTGTTAAATATTCATAGATAGTCATCAGTGATTTTAAGCCACTCTCAGTATTGTAAAGATCATTCTGGCTTAATTTGTTCTCATAGAGTTTCCTTTAAGTAGAATGTATAATCTATGTCACCAAGAAAAAGGGAGGAATGTGTGGTACTTTTCTATTTTATTTTTGAGTCCATAGCATATATATGAAATATTTTCTCTGTTAAAACTGAAAGTTACACAGTTCTAACATCCTAATAATGATAGTAGCTTTTGCGTTATTTGCCATTTGACTGGCTCTTTAGTTTTTTTATTCAGTGTTTGGAGTACCTGCTGTGACCCAGACATTGGGCGTAAACCAATGAGTAAGGCCTTCCATCATCTGTGCTAGGGAAATTATCTATAATATTTAGAAAAGCACTTTATGCCTTGTGTTTGCTTCTTTTGCCAAGGTTCAGTGTAGTCGGTGATTTACAAGTGTAATACACTCTTTTTAACCAAGATTTACCCATTCATAAAGTGTATGAAGTGATATTCTACTTATTTTCCAAGGATTTCCATGAAAAATGAAAGTGACATTTGTGTAATATGTAGTGTTACTATCAAATTAGATCTGGCAAATATAAATCAATTATTTGTAAGAATCTATTGTGAAAGTAGTGCTTTTATAAATTTTTTTAAAGCTTTCTGCAATTCAAATAGAAACTAAAATGAAAAGTTCGCTCTCACTTTTTTTCCTCCCAAGAATTCTCCTATTCCTTCAGCTCTTCCTGAACCGATGACTGCTAGTGAAGCCGCTGCTAGGAAAAGCCAAATAAAAGCCAGGTAGGCCGAGCTATGCTGACATTGCAAAGGCATTTCTGAAAAAAAGGTGATGCTTCTTGTTTTAATCCTAGCAGTGTCATTAGTTCAATATCATCATCCACAAAAAATGCTGTGTGGCTTATTTCATGTGGTTTAGTTTTGATGGCAGATGTGAAAGAAACTTTTTTAAATGAATTTTTATGAGTTTGTAGGTTTAACATCAGTCCCATTTGAACTGCTCACTCTCAGCAACAAGGAAGTGATTGTTTCCTGGTGACGGTATAGTGGATCTTTATGGGGGGGTTGGCCTTTTCAGCATATGGCAACTTAAATTTAGGAAATTTTGTTTCACAGCTAATACGCTTATTTTTTAAATTTAAGGAAGAGAAATTAGTTATTACAGACAACTAGAATATGTATTTTGCAGTTTGTAACAACTAGTATAAGTGTAGTTCAGAATGTTCGTGGAAAATTGAATAAAAAGGCTTATTTTGGTACAAAAATATTGAATTTCATAATAGTATTTTCTTTTTTTAGATTTATTTGTTTATTTGAGAGGTAGAGTTACAGAGAGAGGGAGAGACATAGAGAGAGGTCTTTCATTCATTGGTTCGCTCTCCAAATGGGCGTAGCAGCCGGAGCTGAGCCAATCCGAAACCAGCAGCCAGGAACAACTTCTGGGTCTCCCATGTGGGTTCAGGGGCCCAAGCCCCTGGACCTTCTTCCACTGCTTTCCCAGGCCATAGCAGAGAGCTGGTTCAGAAGAGGAGCAGGCAGGACTGGAACCGATGCCCATATGGGATGCAGGCACTGCAGGCAGAGGCTTAGCCATTGCACTGGCCCATACAGTGTTTTAGTAACATGTATTTCCCATGAACTTTTTGAAAAGCTCTCATTTATGGGATTTAAAAGCTTTTTGTATCATAAAAAACTTACCTTTTAATTCCATTACCCATGAACTTTTAAAAGCACCTTTGTATTTTTGAAGACTGGTTAAGAAATATTTTAAAATATTTTCATAGTTTATTGCATTATTAGCTTTAAAATATATTATGTAGGCTCAGAGGCTGAGACCTGATATGTTAATGATTGATCTTTTTCCTTTTTTAAAAACTGTACCAGTTGATAAGGAGGACTGTATTGTAGATATTAGGTATAATTTTTGTGTTTGGGAAGATTCCTCTGTCATAGCTATTTGGTATTATATCTTTCTTATGCAGTGTTTTATTTGACATAAAAGACAAAAAAATGTACTTGTCATATACCTTTAATGTGCAAGATATAGCTACTGGAAATTCAAAGAAAAAGAAGCAGTGCACATTCCAGTTGGCAAGTAGATGTTAAAGCTTGACAGACTTGAGGCAGCTTCTGAGGGTGAGGAGGAGGGCAGGGCGGAGCAGAGAGGAGGGAGCACAGGAAAGGCTTCAGTGGAGCAGCCCGCTGGGCTCTTCCTCGACGGATGACTCATCGCTGGGAAGGCTGGGCCCTGCGCTCTAGCAGGAAGGCCATCCGGGTAGCAGCGTGGCCCTTGTGCGTCAGCAAGGCTGGAGCACAAGAGGACACAGGTGCGAGGAGTTGGGGGTGAAGCCTGGGAAACAGGTGAGTGCCCGTCAGGAGCTGCTCTACTAATAAATGATGTCCTGCTGAGAAGTTTGTACTTCTGATCAATTCTTTTTTTCACTTGGTAGTTTGATGTGTTGTAATTGATCTGTTATTTAGAAATTGTTAAGATATCCTTTGTGAATGACTTCCTTTTACAAAGAATATGGGGGGGCTGCAGTAGCGCAGTGGGTAAGCTGCTACCTGCAATGGGTAGCAGTTTGTGGCCTGGCTGGCAGCTCCACTTCTGATCCAGCTCCCTGTTAATGCCCCTGAGAAGGCAGCGGCCCAGAAGCTTGGACCCCTGCCACCCATGTGAGAGACCTGGATGGAGTTCTAGGCTCTTGGCTTCTGTGTGGCTCAGTCCTGGAGATTGTAGCCATTTGGGGAATGAACCAGCAGATGGAAGATCTCCCTCTCTCTTCCCCTCTCTGTAACTCTGCCTTTCAAATTAATTAATAATTATTAAATAGATAAACAAAAAGAATAGGAAATCACTCTAGAAATATCTACATTCACTTGAATTTCAAATGCTATCTTGAGGAGGAGACAAAGGAGTGAAGCTGCATCTGACTCCCAGGACTCCAGCGTGGTCATCAGTCTTCCTCACCTATGTCACAGCTTTAATTAGCAACTGCTGTTACAGTTGAGGGCTAATTATGAATTATTATAGCTCTTGTCAGTTAGGTTTTATTATGATGTGTTTTTAAATGAATTTATTAATAATTAAATTTTTAACAAAGAAGTTATAGATTAAAAAAAACATGAATCAACTGAGCAAGAATGATTTGAATGTCTTTTCACCATGACACAAGTTATAGTTATACAGTTACAAGCAGATGGAATAGTACAATTAAAATTCACACTACTGGGGTTGAGTGTTTACCCTAGCAGTTAAGATACCAGGTAAGGTGTCCGTGTCCCACATCAGAATGCCAGGATTTGAATTCTGGTTGTGGCTCTTGACTTTTGCTTCCTGCTTATGCAGACCCTGAGAGGCAGTGGTGATGGCTGAAGTAACTGAGTTCTTGCTACCCTCGTGTTAGATCTGGATTGACTTTCTGGATCATGGTATCAGTCTGGCCCAGCCTTGGCATTTGCAGAATAAAAACCAGCAGATAGGAGCTCTCTCTTATTTTCACTTTCTCTCTTTGTTTCTCTCTCATATTAAAGAAAAATAAAAAAATCAGTGCTTATTTATATATGTCAAATATATTATGTATATTTAAAAATAAAATTCCTTTTTGCATATTGGTAATATAGATTTACTCTTTATTAGTATCAATGAAGAACGTGGAAAAATTTAAATGTGTGCAAAATTTAATATCCGCAGATTGTTAGGTGTCTCTTCATGTAAAAGGCATGGTGGGGACTGGGTCTGTCAGCAGCTGGTTGCATCATGCATGTTTCCCGAGCTCTTACGGATGTTGTCTGCCCGCTGTGCGTCGTCTGCGCCACGTCGGTGCTTCTCACCAGGCCCTTCACCATCTCACACTGTATCCGCCCTGGGACTCTGAAGCCTTTGTACTTGCCTGGCAGATGTCTTGGGGATCTCTCTCCTTGCACAGGAAACCAGTGCAGAGTTTGACAGGAGAAAAGTCTCCGTTTTAGGAAGGCTGTTGGGGTAATAGTGAGGAAGCGGAGGAAACTGCTCTGGGACTGTTGTAGGCAGATGAGGCAGCGCAGCAGTGCACATGCAGTAAGTACGTGCTTCTCTTCATTTCTGTCAGTTTTATGTCTTCTCTCTGCCTAACCTGTCAAGGTCTTGTCTTCCTCTTCCTTCACAGATCATGATCTGATGAAATCATAATTATTTAAAATTTTTAATCTGCAGTTCTACCTGAAGCCTTCTTTAGCCATTAGGTTAAAGGTGGAAGTAGTCCTCTGAAATTCTTGACAGCACTAGTTTGACACCTGTTATTTCCCATCTTATATTTTGTGAAATTTTCACCATTCTCTACTGTTTCCTTAGGTGTATTGTAAACTCTTGGAAGACATTGTTGTGCAGTGTTTTACTGGGAATCAGTAATTATATACAGAGACTGGTACAGTGGAAAATAAGTTGGAGACATTAGATTGAATACTTTCTGCAGACTTTTTATTTTTTTAGAAGATTTATTTATTTATTTGAAAGAGTTACAGAGAGAGAAAGAGAGAGAGAGAGAAAGAAAGGTGTTCCATCCACTGGTTCACTCCCCAAACGGCTGCAGCGGCTGGAGCTGGGCCTTTACAAAGCCAAGAACCAGGAGACTCCTCAGGGTCTCCCATGCAGGTACAGGGACTCAAGTGCTTGGGCCATCCTCCACTGCTTTCCCAGGCCACAGCAGAGAGCTGTATCGGAAGTGGAGCAGCCAGGACTTGAACCGGCACCTGTATGGGATGCTGGCACTGCAGGTGGTGGCCTTACCTGCGAGGCCACAGTGCCAGCCCCTCTGCAGACTTTCAAAATGCTATTCAGAGCGTTTGCTGTTCTCATGTGTGTTGTTTTAAGTTTAGATCAGAAACAAGTCAAAGTCAAGGGTGACCTACACTAGCCACTTGCTAAAGAATGCAGAGTTAAACAGAGAGAGTGCATAAATAAATTACTTGAACTGAGAGGGGTACAGCATTGATTGGACTTAGTGCCATGGCCTGTAGTTTGAATTGAGTAAATACTTGATTATCATTAAAATGAGATAAAATTGATTACATGTATACACATACACACATGTATATATGATCAGTTTTCATACGATTTGTACCATATCCTTCTTACCTAAAAGGTGTCACATTTAGAAAATAGCACATACACATGTAATGTATTTTTTGTATCATTTCCCCAACTTCTTGAAAAGATAGTTGTTAACAGGGCTCCCTCTTGTGGTTCCTGAAGAGGTTAGGAAAGAACTTTAGATTCTGGCAGTGGGCTTTTTCATAATGTAGCAGATGTGTGCATGAAATAATCACGTGTCTAAAAGTTAAAGTATTAAGTCACTTGAAAATGTGGTGAGGGAACTTAGTAAATCTTGCTGGAAAGTGAACATTTGACCCTACTCAAAAATATTTGAGTTTTTTACTGACTTTATAGAAAGCAAAGTTGATGGATAGGAATGTTTAGATTTTACATGACTTTTTTTTTCTGAAAAAGAAAGGCAAATATCTCAGTCTTCTAAGACTTATTTACTGTTTCTTGCTTTTACAAATGTGTTTAATACTTGACCACCCACATCTGGTGCCTATGCTAAGTCCTAGTTGGCAGGATTTCATGTAATTTCCATTTGGTGTTTCAAGTAAAGCAAATTTGAAAATACAAGAGGTTGAATATGAGCAGGTAGCACTTACTGCTAAAATTTTTGACTCCTTTTGTTTTAAAATCCCTGAGGTGCATTCTTTTCTTTTTATTTAAGTCTCAACCAGTAGAGATTATTTTCTTATTTTTTTTGTTTTTATTTCTCTGACTAGTTCAAAGAGTTGGCTGTCAGTTTTGTTCAAATCCTTATGAGAAGGTATCTGTCTGTTCCCCTTCAGTCTCATTTCATCTCGTTAAAAGTATTCTTTCTCTGGCACCTTCAGTGACAGATTGTCAATGGCAGTGTACCATCTTAAAGGAAAATTAGTTTTCTTTCCTTTCTTCCTTAAATATTTAGTTTTTAATAAGATTTGTTTATTTGAAAGGCAGAGTTGGGGGGAGATTAAAAGAGAAAGAGAGAGGTCTTCCATCTGCTGGTTCACTCCCTAAATGGCCACAGTGGCTGGAGCTGGGCTAGCCTGAAGCCAGGAGCTAGAAGCTTCATCCATGTCTCCCACCTGGGTGCAGGGGCCCAAGCACTTGGGCCATCTTTTGCTGCTTTCCCAGGTATATTAGCAGGGAGCTGGATTGGAAGTGGAGCAGCTGGGACTAGAACTGGCATCCATATGGGATGCTGGCATCGCAGGTGGGGGCTTTACCTGCTATGCCACAGTATTGGTCCCAAATATGTAATTCTTGAGAGTGGCACTTGGAAGGAAGCCAAGAAGACTAATGTGATGTTCAGTAATAATTGGATCAATTGAAATACTAGTAGAGGTTATTGAACAAATGGTATGTTAAAAATAATCCAAATATTTGAAATGAATTGTATTCTTGTCTTATAGAATAACAGATACCATTGGACCAACAGAAACCTCAATTGCACCTAGACAAAGACCAAAGGCCAACTCCGCTACTGCCACTCCCAGCGTGCTGACCATTCAAAGTTCAGCAACACCTGTTAAAGTCCCAGTTCCTGGTGAATTCGATAACCACAGACCAAAAGGTAATACAGTCCTGCAAACTCTATTCCCTTTATAGTGAACATAGAAAAACCTTATATAGTTTCATTTGTTAGGGCTATAAATTACTGGCAAACTTATGATACAAAGCGTTAAGACACTTTATCGTGATGCCTCATAAACCTGTTTCCCTAAAGTTGTAGGCAAAGGAAAGTTACTGTCAATACAAAGGTATAATAGAAAAACTCAGCTTGTTTTGATTCTATAGATGCCACTTTATTCTTAGAGCCATTAGCTAGTAGATCTTGAGGGTTGTAGAAAATTGTGTTGCACTGGAAAAATTCAAGTTGAAACTGTAGCTGTAGAAGGTGATATGTGAAAGAGTCTGTCTTGAACCATGTGCACATTTACAACATAAAAACCTTATCTTCTCATTTGATTTTGAGAAAAGTTATTTTTCTAATCTAAAATGTCTTTTAAGTGTTATGGCACAGTATGGTACTTACTTCTTAATATTCTAGAGGAAACTTGATTCTCTCAAGGATCTGGCAGTATAATCTGAAGATCCCTTTCAAGGAAATCTCGATTTGTACTTTATTTTGTGACAAATCTTTCTTGTTTTAATATTGAAATGTTTTCATTTAGGTTATGGCAATGGTTAAGAGTCCACACTTTGAGTCTCATCAGTGTGGTTTGAGAAAATTTCCTCCGTTTTTCAGTGATATACCTTACAAAACTACTAGTCTCTCTCTTATAGGATTGTAGAGAGGGGTAAATGATAGCTTAATGTAGTGCCTGATGGATCATAAGCCCTTCAGGATTTTAACTATTAGCTACTGAAGTATATGGTCAGGGAAGATAATGTGTATTTTATCTGGCATATTGCTACATTACATATGTAGTAATCAGGTATGCCTGTTTGAAGGGTATTCCATGGAAAAGAGAACAATAGAATTTCAAGTAATTTGTGTTTAATTCCCGTTTTACCATTTCCAACCTCACTTTTCTCTTCTGTATAATGAAAGTAATTTTTTTTTTCTGTTCTGAGGAGTAAATGGCAAAGTGTCTGGCATCTAGAAAATTCTGTCTCAAGTACCTATTCAGTGTTAGTTTCTCTGTTTCTGCCTTTTGGATTGGGGGTTCTTGTACTTTTTTGTATCAGTGCCTCCCAACCAAAAACCACCAGGAAATACACTTGTAGTTGAATGTGTTAGGTTTATAATTCCCAGACTATGGGGGTCTTTTGGAGTATCTCGGTAAGATGGAAATTGAAAAGGCTTGCTAAAGGATTTGGGCTTGAGTAACTTGAGGGTGGCTTTACGGAAACTGGGTTTTGCTCTGTATTGGATATTAGCAGAAATGGGGGCATGATAGGATCAGGTATCTGAATAAACCTTAACTTGAAGGAGGGAGGCTAAGGGTTCTAATGTAAAGAAGCAGTATTTAGGCACGTGAGGTAAGGCAGGGGATGCTGGATCATTTCTGTGGTTTGGCCAGTGTTCATGATTTTGTCTGTATTCAGACAGAGTTATGGAGTGGTCTTGACTCTTGGCATTCAGAGTGGTCTTGTCTGAGGTTGGTTCTGTGTGAAACTGCTCAGCAAGAGTGCCCCAGGCCTAGCCATGAGTGACAGGCCTGTTCCTGTGTCAGGGCTGCTTGCTCTTTTCTTTTTCTTACGTGGTTCCAGCTTAAGTTGGAAAAATTATACTCCCTCCCCCGCCTTGTATTTTTAACATCTCTCTCCTTTCCCTTTGAGTTAACCAGCAGCCAGAAGTGTACACCCTCCTAGCCCTCTTTCGTATATATATTTTTTTAATTTTAAGATTCATTTGTTTGAAAGAGTTGGAAAGAGAGACAGAGAGAGAGAGAGAGGGAGAGAACAGAGAGAGATCTTCAATCCACTGGTTCACTCAACAGATGGCCACAAGGTCTGGGTCCTGGCAGCCAGGAGTCTAGAATTCCATCCGAATCTCTCATGTGAGTGGCAGGGTCCAAGCATTTGGGCCATCTTCCCCTGCTTTCCCAGGTGCATTAGCAGAGAGCTGGATTGAAAGCAAAGCTGCTGTGACTAGAACCTATGCTCTCAGAAATGCCGGCATTGGAAGCAGTGGCGTCAAACCGCTGCACCACCACACTGGTCCTTCATTTTCTTGCATGTATCTATACAGATAGGAATAATTGTGGTTGTCTTTAACATAAGTCATTCCTATTCTACTTTTTTGCAACTTGATTTTTTTTTTTTTTTTGCTTAGTATATTTTGGAAAGCTTTGATTAGCAGAGCATATAGATCAACTGTGTAGTTTTAGTAGATCTTTATACTGTGAATATATCTATGTAACTAGGTTTTTCTGATATTTGCTATTATTAATAGTGTTGTCATGAACATTTAAAAAAAGATTTGAAAGAGAAAAAGAGAGAGGGAAAGAGAAAGATGGATAGCTAGGTCTTCCATCTACTGGTTCACTCTCTCATTGGCTGTAATGGTTGGGGCTGGGCCATGCCTGAAGCCCGAAACTAGGAACTCCATCCGTGTCTCTCACATAGGTGGCAAGGGCCCAAGTCTTTAGGCCATCTTATGTTGCCATCTCAGGCGCGTTAGTAGGGAGCTGGATAGGAAGCTGGGCAACTGAGATTTGAATGGGTACTCATATAGTATGCCATAGTCACAGGCAGTGGCTTGACCCGCGCCTCAATGTTCCTGAAGCCAGGAGCCAGGAGTTCCACCCAGGTTTCACATATGGGTGGCAGAAAACCAAGAGCTTGAGCCATCATCTGCTTCCTGTGATGCCAGCATCCCATATGGTCACTGGTTTGAGCCCCAGCTGCTCTACTTCCAATCCAGTCCCTGGTAATGTGTCTGGGAAAGCAGTGGAAGATGACCCAGATACTTGGGACCCTGCTACCTATGTGGGAGATCCAGATAAAGCTCCTGGCTCCAGGCTTCAGCCTCGCCCAGCCCTGGCCATTGTGGCCACTTTGGGAGTGAACTAGCAGATGGACGATCTCTCTGTGTCTCTTCCTCTCTCCTTCTGTAACTCTGCCTTTCAAATAAAGTAAGTCTTAAAAAAATGAGGTCTATATTAGATCAAGCCTAATTTTGTATTTAGATTTCTGTTCTTACTTATTTTTATTTGATCTTTTGGTGAATTCATTTCTTGGGCTTAGAGTTATCATTTACAAAAGGGAGAATAATAATATGGATAATTGTGATGTATTTGAAAGCATTCTTTTATGTGAAATTGCTGTGATGTTGATTGAGGGTGTTCTGGTGCTCTTTGGTTATGGCTTGAGCTCTCTCCTTTGCCTGGTGACACTAAAGCAAAGTCAGAGTTGGTTAGGTGAGGTGTAGGGCTCATCAGTCATAACTTGGTACTGCTGTGCTGGAGGTGGGGCTCTGGCAGTGAACATTGCTCGGCTAGACATCAAGACCCTGAGTAGTAAGTGGATAATCAGGGAATGACCTGACTCTTTCACACTTAAATATCAAGTTATGTCTGTGTGGTACAATTGTTATTTTCATTTTCTTCCTTGTATTTTTATAAATATTTCTGAGAATAATTAAAATGGGCATGTATCCTTTTTTTATATATATAATTAGAAATAGTTATGGGACCTGTGCTGTGTTGTAGGAGGTTAAGGCTCTGCCTGTGGCGCCAGCATCCCATATGGGTGCCAGTTTGAGTCCCAGCTGCTCTGCTTCTGATCCAACTCCCTGCTGATGGCCTTGGAAAGCAGCAGAAGATGGCCTGAATGTTTGGGCCCCTGCACCCATGTGAGAGACTCAGAAGAAGCTCCTGGCTCCTGGCTCTGGATTGGCCCAGCTCTATAGCCATTGTAGCCATTCAGGGAGTGAACCAGCAGATGGAAGATCTCTTTCTCTCTCTTACTCTCTCTGTAACTCTACCTTTCAAATAAATAAAATAAATATATTTAAAAAATAGTTATAAAACTTTTCTTAGAGCTATTAGTACTTAGGCCTGGGGAGATTTGAAACTGTTGATATCAATGACAAAGTTCCTTCTCTTTCTCTTTGCACAGTTCATCCACTTCTCCCTTCACCCCTAATATGGAGTAGTTGTATTTTAAATTAGGAATAGTTTTGGAAGACTATAGAGATTATACTGTATTTAGTCTCATCTTTTCTGATGTTTATATCTTTGTAACTAATTTAAAAAGTTTATTGGATTTTCCAAGAGTAACAAGTGGATTCTAAATATCCATTTAAGAGATTGTGTTAATGGACTCATTGTAGTGTGCGTTTTATTGAGAATCTGTTACATAGAAGATTCTTTGGGTCTAAAGAGTAAGGCATCCCCTCAAGGACTTGGGTCCCATTTCTGCAATAGCTTTTCCATTAAAATGTGTAAGATGGAATGAAATGTAATATATAAAATAGAAGCATTAGATGAGGGACAAAGGAAGAGAGATTGAGCTAAACTTTAAAGGATAATAACATTTCAGTAGGTGGGAAATGGCAGTCTAACTTGAGAAAATCATATTAGCAAAGACACCTACTCATAATATGATATAGTTGAACACAGAATATGACATGACTGGTGTGTTCTTGAGGAAAGCATGAAACATGCAATTTTTCTAAGATTTTCATTTGTTCAGAATTGTAGATGACATAATTAAGTTCCCTGAGTATTTAGAATTACAGTAAATAACACCTTTAGACTTACATGCTGATGGAAGTTGCTCTGTTATAAGGTATGTACACCTTAGTTAAATTATTATTATTATTATTATTATTATTATTATTTTTTTTTTGACAGGCAGAGTGGATAGTGAGAGAGAGAGACAGAGAGAAAGGTCTTCCTTTTGCCGTTGGTTCACCCTCCAATGGCCACCACGGCTGGCGCACTGCGGCCGGCGCGCTGCGCTGATCCGATGGCAGGAGCCAGGTGCTTCTCCTGGTCTCCCATGGGGTGCAGGGCCCAAGCACTTGGGCCATCCTCCACTGCCTTCCCTGGCCACAGCAGAGAGCTGGCCTGGAAGAGGGGCAACTGGGACAGAATCCGGCGCCCCGACCGGGACTAGAACCCGGTGTGCCGGTGCCACTAGGTGGAGGATTAGCCTATTGAGCCACGGCGCCGGCCAGTTAAATTATTATTGAAATGAATTGTTTGAAGTGTAGCCATTTTGTTGAGCTTTTTAATGTGTTGATAGACATTTTTGGAAACCCGTTTTAGGAGCACTAAGACCTGGAAATGGCCCTGAGGTTTTACTGGGCCAGGCCCTGCCTCAGCAGCCTTCGCAGCCGCCGCCACAGCAGCACAGAGTCCTTCAGCAACTACAGCAGGGAGACTGGAGGTTACAGCAGCTGCATCTACAGCCACGCGGGGCGCACCAGCAGCCACAGCACCATCAGCTACTTCAGGATGCTTATATGCAGCAGGTAATGTTTTTATTGTTCTTTAAGTAAGGACATTGATGCATCACTTGAATGTCATTAAATCCTCCTCCCCACACCGTGATTCTGGGTACCTTGATCTATGTTCCTGTAAGTATTTTCCCCAGTTTGCTAATTATTATGGACTATGTATTAGTTTTTTGTTTGGTGAGATACCTAAAGAGTACTCTGTTAAACAAATGGACATTGCAGTTGATGACAAGTAGTATCTGTTTTAGGTTGCATTTTGAGTTCACAGACTAATGATAATATTGTTAGAAAGGTAGTATTAGGCTTCTCTGAAGTGATATTATCTTATGGTTTTTATTAAAATTTTTTCTTTTATAAGGGCAAAGAACAGCATTTAGAATTTTGAGGGACATAGGAAAAAGATGAACTGACGTTCTGTTCTGTTACCTCAGCAGAACTATTTGTGATTTCCTTTAAAAAGTTTTAAATTGACCTATGGTAACCTCTACTTTTGATTGATAGACTCAGAGAGCAGGTAGTAAGTGGTGCCATGGGGTGGACGAGGACTTCATTGAGGAGGAGCTGGAGAGAAGTGGGGATTTACCGTGCTGGGTTCTGGCCAGAAGTCACTTTAGGGTTCATCATCAGCTAGGAAAAGGAGCCATATATGTTTAGGGTTATCTTTCTTTCAGACATCCTTGAACTGTGCTGAACATAGCTTTCAAGAAATCTCTCTTTTTTTTTTTTGATAATTTTGAAATCAATTTTCATAAGCATATAAAGGAATAGTCACTTACAGGCTGTTTTATATTGGTGAATGACTGCTGATGTTCCAAATAATTGTTATGGTGAAATCAGTGCTTTAAAAAAGGACTCTGGCGGGATAAAGCCATGAGTAACAATGATTGGTTTGGTTTTTTCCCTGCGTCTAGTATCAACATGCAATGCAGCAGCAGCAGATGCTTCAACAACAGTTTTTAATGCATTCAGCCTCTCAGCCGCAGCCTTCTGCATCACAGTATCCTGCGATGGTAAGTGTGAGACGCTTCTCTGAGTATGCATTATAGTAGTGGAGCACACATCAACATTACCCTGATTTAGTCATTTATTTTAGCAAAGCCAGTATTTTCCCAGGAGCCTTAAATTGTGCTGAACAGTGGTACCTGAATATGGACGTTGTAACTGCCTGATCACGTACTTGTGTAGTAGAAGGGGACTGATCTGTTGCCTGCAATCTGTCATAGGTTTCCTCCATTCAGCAGATATCTTTTGAATAGACAAGTTAAAAGTTAAACCCACCAGAAAGTGCGTTTGCTTCAGAGAATAGTTTTTTAAATAGCTACTGCCGTACCAGTGACTCTGCTCTTTCATTTCTTTGTTAAAATATTTAAAGATGGATTTCTGAATCTCATCAGGGGAGCCTAGCTTCACCACTTTTTGAGTAGATTTATTTCTCCTCACGTTGGGTTTCTGGCAGTAGAGCTACTCTGTGAAATTATAAATGGTTTCTGATTTTGTCATCCACGGGGAAAGGAAGGGAAGTGGCACTTGGACTGTGACGCTGCTGATGCCTCCGTGACTTGAGCACTGTTGTGTGTGATGTCTTTCTTGTTTCAGGTGCAGCAATATCAGCAGGCTTTCTTGCAGCAGCAGATGCTGGCTCAGCACCAGCAGTCTCAGCAACAGGCGTCACCCGAGTACCTCACCTCCCCTCAAGAGTTCTCACCAGCCTTAGTCACCTACCCTTCCTCACATCCAGCTCAGCTTGCAACCACAGTGGACTCCTCTTACAGTGCCAGTAGGCAAGTGTTTTTCCTGTGAATGCAAAGTGATGTTGTGGAAGTGGATGCAAATATTCAATGGGGTTATTAAGTGGCTCTTGAATTAATTTATTGCTCATTTTTCCATGGAACTGCCTCTTCCCTCCCCGTAGTTCTTTCGTGTCCTTTTGCATCCCCATCTTCCCTCCCATTCCTGTCAGTTAGTTCTGCTAACTGCTGTTGTGGATAAGGCTTAGCAACATCCAGCTGCATGCATGGCTGAATAAATTTTTGGCTTACATATTTGCATTCTTTGTAATTTAAGTAGAAACAAAAAGTTAACAAGCTGCTTTAGTAGTTTAAAATAAATAATCTTTGTAGACAAGTTTATTTTGTATATAGTATTACTTTAAAATAATTTGCCTATTTACTCATAAAGTTTATATAATTTGGCTTAAACAAGTACAAACTTTCATATAAATAATTTTTTAAACATTTTTTTTATTAATTTGAAGGAGTTACAGAGAGAGGAAGAGAGACAGAGAAATTTTCCATCCTCTGGTTCACTCCCCAAATGGCTGCAGTGGCTGGGGCTGGGCCAGACTGAAGCCAGGAGCCAGGAGCTTCATCTGGGTCTCCCACATAGGTGCAGGGGCCCAAGCACTTGGGCCATCTTCTGCCGCCTTCCCAGACACATTAGCAGGGTACTGGATTGAAAGTGGGGTGACTGAGGCTTAAACTGGCACCCATATGGGATGTCGGCACTGCAGGTGGAAACCCAACTTGTTAGGCCACAGTGACAGCCCCAATATTATACATTTTAAACAAATTAGAGTCACTAAAATATAAACTATGAAGTGCAAGCAGTAATCTCCAAGTTTGAAGAAGAGACATATCTGAAAATGAGCCCCACAGTGATAAGAAACTGGTTTTCCTCATTAAAAATAGGATATTCTCAATATTCTTTAGTTTAATATATCCGTGAGACTGTTGTACTAGTTAGAAATCTGCTTGTCAGGAGACAGGATTTTTGCACAGCCTTGTGAGTGAACCGTTTTGTAAAACAGATCTAACGAGGCAAGTATTGCCGACCCAGTCATACCAGGCACAGTGACTTGGCTAAGGCACTCCCCAAATTCCTGACCTAATGAAAGTGTGTAAGAAAGTAAGTGTTTTAAAAATTACTTATTTGAGAGGCAGAAGCTCCCCACCCACTGATTCACTTCTCAGATACCTGCACTGGCTGGGACTGGGCTGGGTTGAAACTGGGAGCCAGGAACTCAGTCCAGGTCTCCCACTTGGGTGACCTGGGCCCAGCTACTTGAGCCATCACTGCTGCTTCCCAGGGTCTGTGTCAGCAGGAAGCTGGAGTCTGGATCTGTAGCTGGGCATTGAACCCAGGTAGTCTGATATGCAATGCTGGGTCACAACTGGTGCTCTGAGTACTAGGCCAGACACCTGCCCCTATTGCCTAAAACTCCTAAGTTTCAGGATAATTAGTTATCATCAGTGGATTCAACAGGACAGTTATAAGAACTAAGATCATTTATGCATATAGGACATTATTTTAACTGTTACTGAAATAAAATGCAGTATTATTCTTCAGTTGTTTTATTAATGGTAAGTAACACAGTGGAAGAGTAGAAATTTTAGTGGATCCTTGGGAAAGAAAAGGATGTATTTATTTTAACCAATAAAATGACCCTCTGTTTCTAAGAATGACATGGGTTCTTAACACCTACTCATCCCTATACACAGAGACAGACATTTAACTTGTTTTCATCTTCAACTCATTTAGTCGTTAGCACTAACATTTGCTTGCAGAGAGCTCTTTTTAAATTGTTTGAGAAGATACTGTACTTAACATATGAGTGTAATCTGACATCAAGTTGGTTTAGTAATATTAATGAAGTAGTATTGAGGCACCAAATGCTGCTGGAGCAGAGTTTTTTGTAGGAAGTTCTACATTGCTACCCTCCTATGGCCTAGTCTGTAAATATTTCTACCCTTCAAACCATCACCCCTTTCCTGCTCCATCCTCCCCATCCTGCAGTAACATAACTTTACAGTAGCGGGCCGGCGCCGCGGCTCACTAGGCTAATCCTCCGCATTGCGGCGCCGGCACACCGGGTTCTAGTCGCGGTCGGGGCACCAGATTCTGTCCTGGTTGCCCCTCTTCCAGGCCAGCTCTCTGCTGTGGCCAGGGAGTGCAGTGGAGGATGGCCCAAGTGCTTGGGCCCTGCACCCCATGGGAGACCCGGATAAGTACCTGGCTCCTGCCATCGGATCAGTGCGGTGCGCCGGCCGCAGCGCGCGGGTGGCGGCGGCCATTGGAGGGTGAACCAATGGCAAAAGAAGACCTTTCTCTCTGTCTCTCTTTCTCTCACTGTCCACTCTGCCTGTCAAAAAAAAAAAAATTAAAAAAAAAAATAACTTTACAGTAGCAGAATAAAACAAATATCCAGCCGGGGAATGCAAGATGATTTATTGGTAATCCATTTTTTAAAAAAAAATAGTAGTCATATAGAAATTAGGAAAAAATGTGTATCTGATATACCAGACTTGTGGTCTCATGAACAGTGTCACTAGAAGTGAGAGTAGGGTAGGAAGTGCTATAGTAATTCACATGAGTAGGCATCTGCACCTTACATGCTTGTTTGCCTCAGATCTTTGGATACCCAACTTTTCTTTATGACAGATTAGAGTCGAGATAGTGCATTTGCTATGGAACACTAACACGGATTTTGTCATAAAGGATTCCCTGTTCATTACTCCATTATTATCAGAAACACAACTTTGCTTCCAGAAGATGATAGTCTTTTAGAATATGAAGTGTACTTAAGTGTATATATGCTGTACCAGTTTAATATCTTTTTTTTTAAGATTTATTTATTTGAAAGAGTTACACACAGAGAGAGAAAGAGAAGTCTTCAATCAGATGGTTCACTCCCCAATTGGCTGCAATGGCCAGAGCTGTGCCGATCTGAAGATCTGAAGCCAGGAGCTTCTTCTGGGTCTCCCACATGGGTGCAGGGGCCCAAGCACTTAGGCCATCTTCTACTGCTTTCCCAGGCCATAGCAGAGAGCTGGATCAGAAGAAGAGCAGCTGTGACTAGAACCAGCACCCATATGGGATGCCGGCGCTTCAGGCCAGGGCATTAACCCACTGAGCCACAGTGGGTTATCTTTTGTACTCTCCCACTACATATACTAGGTTTTTTTTTTTTTTTTTTTGGGACAGGCAGAGTTAGACAGTGAGAGAGAGAGACAAAGAGAAAGGTCTTCCTTCCGTTGGTTCACACCCCAAATGGCTGCTACGGCTGGTGCACTGTGGCTGGCACGCTGCGCCTATCTGAAGCCAGGAGCCAGGTGCTTCCTTCTGGTCTCCCATGTGGGTGCAGGGCCCAAGCATTTGGGCCATCCTCCACTGCCTTCTCGGGCCACAGCAGAGAGCTAGACTGGAAGAGGAGCAACTGGGACAGAATCCGGAGCCCCAACCAAGACTAGAACCCGGGGTGCCGGGGTGCCGGTGCTGCAGGTGGAGGATTAGCCTAGTGAGCGGAGGCGCTGGCCCATATACTAGGTTTAAGTGGTGTTTTGATGCTAATTAGTATCAAAAGTAAAAGAGAACACTCATTTAATGAATAAAACAGTCTCATTTATATGCTAAACTGAACATTGAGTAGACTATCCCATTTTTAAGTGAGGGAAATTCTTCCATTTTTAACCAGAGGAATTAATTTTGGGTATGTCTTTTCTAGGATTTATTAAGATTACTGCTTGTAATTTTTAAGTTTATTTGTTTGAAAGGCTGAGCAACACAGTGAAAAAGAAAAGAGAGAGATGGAGAGGGAGAAGGAGAGGAAGAAGGAGAGAGAGAAATTCATCTTCCATCTGTTTGTTCGTGTCCTTCCTTCTCAATGCCCATGATAGCTGGGGCTGCAGGCTGAAGCTAGGGGTCAGGAACTCCATCCAAGTCTCCCACTGGGTGGCAGAGAGGGTCCCAAGCACTTGAGCCATCAGCTGCTGCCTCTGAGAGTGTGCATTAGCAGGAAGTTGAATCAGAAGCAGAATAGTCTGTACTGAAACTGGCGCTCTGATAATAGGATATAGACCTCCCAAGTGCCGATGTAACCTCTCTACCACAATGCCCTCTGAGAACTGGTATTTCAGAGTTTATGTTTTAGTGATTCTAGTTCTTTGAAGTCTATGTCATGTTTTCCTTTTATTATTTATAATAGTGCTATTAATTTATTAAGAAAGTGCTGTGTAGGTAGAGCAAAAATTGCAAGTAGAGTAGGAAATGATAAAGATGGGAATAGGTTTCACCGTTTGAAGGGAGGAGTGTCAGAGAACTGTGCACATATTTTCATTCCTGTTTAAACTGTATCCATTGGAATACAGTCTTCCAAGAAGAATCCATAAATTCATTCCATGCATGGGAGGAGGGTGATTTCAATAGGGAATCAGCCATTTCTGTGTGAGGTTGTTGGCAGACAGGAGTAGGAATGCCCGTCTCTTTGGAGTTTTCCCCTTTCTGATCTGTGGTTTGAGGACTCTGAAAGTCTGTAAAGATAGTTTCGCAATGAGAGATGGAGTTGTGTCACGTGAAGGCTGGCTTACTTACCCCTGGCAATTAATACATTCTTAAATGAGTGGTAAACAGAATTTTATTTCTTATGAGGGTATCTAAGTTCTATTTACTCAGCAAGTCCATCTACGTTTAGGTAAATTGCTGTGTGGATTTTCTTCTGTTAGACTCTGGCCTTCAGTAAATATTTAAACGTTCTATTCTTGGCTCAGGTATACTGAGGCTTCTTGGACTAAGGAATTCTATGGACATTTACTCCCTTCTAAGACCTATATGGTGGCAATGGCAGTGAACTGCCATTGAGAAAGTGAATTTAATGGGATGAATCAAGGCTTGCACAGCTGAGATACTCCCTCCACTGTCACTGTTAGCGGCTCTGGAACTTGACAGCTTTGTTATATTGCTTCATTCCCAGGCTATGTTTCTAGACTGGACCGATGAGAGGTACCCAGGGACTCTGGGTAAAGAAATCTTTGGGCTCATCTTCCCTTAGAAGACAGGAGGGCCGTAAGACAACTTCCATGGAGCCAGTGGTCTTGAGCCTCAGACTATAGTTACTTTATATATCATGGATTATTTATTATACAAAATAACCTCATTTAACTTTGGCTGATTCATAAAGCAATCCCAGCAGTTTGTTGGTAACTGTATCTCTGTCAGAAGGAAACTTACTGTGGTTTCTGCACATAGCCAGGATATTTGGTCATTGTACAGTACTAGTAGTGATTTTGGAGTGAGACTACTTGGTACGGTAACTGGTTTTCACTTTAAGACTTGTTTGCTGTGATAAAAACAGATCATTTATATTGAGTGCTTCTTTACTCCACATTGTTCTCTTGCTTTATATATGGAAAATAATTTAATCTCAGTTACCCTGCAAGGTAGATACTGTTACTTTTTGTTTGCCCAGAGTACACAGCTAGTGTCCCTTTACGATGAAGGAGCCAGTGTGCCCTCTGGAGGTGGTCCACAGGCCAAGTATTCTCTCTCTCCTTCATCTACCATGAAGGCTCATCTGTCATGGCCACTATTATAAAGTAATCTGGTTTTCTAAGCATTTATAAAATGTGAACTAAGGCTCTGTAAAAATTGTTTTTCATTCTAATGTTTTCTTCTTTGTCCTTTCTCTATTATGATAGGTCAGTTGCTGATAAAGAGGCAGTCACAAATTTTACAAATCAGAAGAACGTCAGTAACCCACTGGATATGTCAGGGTGGAATCCTTTTGGAGAGGATAATTTCTCCAAGTTAACTGAAGAGGAACTATTGGACAGAGAATTTGACCTTCTGAGATCAAGTAAGGGACACTTGAAGGCTTATTTTGCTTCACAGTAAAGTAACAAGTCTATAATTACTCGGCAAGGCCAAAGACTGTTTTGAGGTGATGTATAGAAAATTCTTTTTGTGCATTTGAGGGCAGAATTCAGGCCATCTTCTTTCATAAACGCTATCAGACGATGTTGTGTGCATTAGAAATCAATTGCTTGGTAGTAGCTATTTAATCCAAAATTGCTTATAGTATGCTGATATCCTAATACTTAAATATTGCCTATCTATGAAAGTGAAATTCAGAACATCTCCAAAACATGGAAAATTAATGTTCAAATAAAAAGGGAGATACTAATACCTTTCCTTATTAATAATTTGGAGCTGTGTTTTCTCGCACACTCAATAGAAAATATTGTGGGTCTGAGATGCCCTTTGATGCCTGAAAGAAAACATGGGCTACTACATTATGTTAATGTTCTGTGATGCCCTTTAATGGGTGGTGACATGAAAGGGCTGCTTTGTTTCCTGATATGGCAAAGTTAAATAAATTCTTTCCAACTTTAAATCAGATATCTCAATGTTTTTACTCAAAATCATTGCCTTTTCTTAAACTGCCTAATAGATATATGTCCGCCCTCAGCATACATATTTTTAGAAGTGTTCCTTTATGTAGGTTATAAAATAGGAGCAAAAAGCTCCTTTCTGGAGTACGCTGATAATTTTCAGGTTTCTGAGGGTTTGTGTGTATGTATATGTGTGTAGGTGGGCATACATACTAGTGTCTTACTCCTTCTGTGTATGAAAAAGTCTTAGTAGTCCCCAGTTTATAGTTCCCAGCTGCTGTTTTATTTAGGTAACTGGTCTTAGGAGAAGAACACTTAATAGGTGAAATGCATTGTTCCAAATTGGTATCTATTTTGTGTAAAATTTATGAATGCTCTGAATGAATGTAAGAATAGTTGTTTGGGATTTAAATTTGTGTTTACTTAATGGTTATATAATTATGAAAAAATTAAATTTGGTGATTAAATGCAGGTATAAAAATGAGTTCTGAGCCTTTAATAAAAGTTTGTTAACTTTAGGAAAGCCAATTTTACATCTTATTAAAAGTATTTTTCTTGAACCACGACTTTTTTGTTTGGCATTTTTTCCAGATTTTATATTGAGTAGTTCTAAAAGCAAGATTTTAAAAAAGAAAATAAAATATCTCTCTTTTTATTTTTGGAGAGATGATATGGGGAGGTAGCAAATCATTACAATTTATAGGATTATTTTAACAACAGATGGTATTTATTGTATGGTTTATTGTACGGTTTAGTCAGTACTTCTTATTCCTTATGTAAAAAGTTTTTTTTTTTTTTTTAATCAGTTTTTGGACTGAGTAAAGGATTCTCATTGATTTTTACCTGATAACAATCTAGTCTGAGCTCCCTAGCATTTGTAACAGTACCTAGGTTTTATTTATGTGGGATAGGCAAGTATGAAAAAGAAATATGTCTGTATGTTTCTAACTTCATAAAATTGAGTTTAGCATGTACCACTTATTTTCCTTCTAATTTCAAGGTGACTGACCTTGGACTCCCAGGTGTAATTTGTATACATATCTGTGCACACCTATGTGTGCCAAAAGAGAACTCAGACTTCACTGTAATATTAATTACAGAGTGATACTAGGTTCCTGATGAGAGTGCAGGAGGAACTTTAGCTGAAGGTCAGACTTGGAGCAGCTTCAGGCTTTGGAAAACCACCTGATGATCTCGGAGTTGCTGAATCACCATCACAGGGCTGATGCACACAGTACCAGAAACAGTGGCATTTAACTGGGTTTTATCTCAGGAAAGTCACTGCTGTTGGTCCACATCGAGATTTTTAAACTGGGGAGAATGATGCCTGCCTCACAAGATTGTCAGGAGGAAGAAATGAAATATACTTGGATCACCTTTAAGGAACCTGAACACAAGTAAATTCTGTTTTCCCTGTCTTAACTGTCCTTATAAATCTGTAGGCTCTGAATCAAGGGGTTGTAGCCTTTAGCTAAATTATTATTAAATAATTATGTCTACATTATTGTAAAAACAATATAATTATTCCTATATTATCAAGTTTCTCAGCTAATTTAGAAATGAAGTGTTTTGGGGCAAGCATGTCAACATCAGAAGTGAGAAATGCTAGCAAGGAGGGAGATGGAAGATTGTCTGTCTTTAATAACTGAGAGCCCTTACAAAGGAGTTCAGAAAAGGTGAAATGTCTTTAATAAGGTTTATAAAGAAATCAGTAGTGTATAGAATATAGCTTAGAAAGCTTTTCCCCCAGAGTTGTATTTAACAGTGGCATCAAGTCAACTTTACCATTTCTTTCATTCACAAGCAAGAAGGTATTTACGATTAGAACTATTTGATAGGGTTTAAATTACACGGATGGCAAGAGACCTCTTCTAGAACCTCAGAAGACTGAACAGAAGACTTACTAGCAGTGCAGACTGACAGTTGATCATTACTGGTTAGTTCTCCTGTCCTTGACTTTTTCCTAAACAAACAAACAAATGCATTTGAAATGCTTAGTGAAATATTTGCACTTTTTTCCCCCTTGGAACGGGTATTTATTAATACTTTACCAAAGCCCTTTCTAAATAATTAAATAGTTTTATGAAATACTTTTCTATGAGAAACTGAACACCTTTATATGATCCTTAAAAATATGGGCATTTCCTTGTGATGATGTAATGGTTGTGGAGCATCACAGAATAAAACATTGCCATTTGAGGTTTTACTTGTAAAATGGTTATTTTATTTTATAAATTAAATTATTTGAAAGGCAGGAAGAGAGAAAGAGAGGTACAGTTCACTCCCCTCACTCCCTTAAACTTCCACAAAAACCTGGGAGCTGGGGATTCAGTCCAGGTCTCCCATAGGGTGGGCAGGACCCAATCACTGAGCCATTACCTGCTATCTCCCAGGGTGCATATTAGAAGGAAGCTGGAATTGGGACTGGAGCTAGAACTCAAACCTAGGCACTCTGATTTGGGATGCTGGCATCTCAGCTGCATCTTTCTTTTTTTCCTCTTAAAGATTTATTTTATTTATTTGAAAGGCAGAGTGACAAAAAGAGAGGGAGAGACAAAAGAGAGAAACAGATCATTTATCACTCTTCAGATAGCCACAGTGACCCAGGCTGGGCCGTGATGAAGCCAGGAGTCAGGAGCCTGGAACTCCATTTGGGTCTGGTTTGCAGAGGGGCCGTTTTCACTGCTTCCCAGGCTTCATTAGTAGGCAGCAGGATCAGAAGCGTAGTAGCAGCTTGGACTCAAACTGGTGCTCTGATTTGGGATGCTGGCATTGCAGGTGGCGTTTTAACTGGCTGTGCCACAACACCAGCCCCTCAAGTTGCGTGTTAACTGATAAAACAAATGTCTGCTCTGTAAAAATGAGAGACAAAATGTACGCTGTCTAGGAAATATTTTACTTGTTTTTTTTTACCCTAGAAGCTAATTTAAAAATTATAGTAGTATTTTGAGCTTTATTTTTTAGTGATCTTCAAGAAAAAATATATTTCATATACTAGGTAAAGGGTATATTTAGTATATTTATATTAAATAAATAAATTATTCTTTTACTTTCAGGGAAATGAACATTATTTGTGGTTCACAATTTTTTTTACTAGTTCATATTTAAGAGTAACACATTTAAATAAGACTAAGCATTAATGTTAAAACTTGTCTTGATGTTTTTTTTAAACTTTAAGCTTGTATTTTTCATTGTCTTTTGTACCAATATATCCAGATTAGCATGTAAACTTTGTAATTATAACATTTAATATATTTGGGATATAGAGATTTGATATGGGGAAATTTTTTAACTTGCATTTGTTCAAACAGTTGTATAGTTCAAAATGTTAATTAAAATGATTAATGCAATATTCTTTTCTTGTTGATGGTCAATTTATTGTGTTTCTGTTTAGAATTGCATCAGAATAGCTGAAAGGAAGGATAACCAGGATAGACAGGTTGCTTTGCAAATATGACTCTGGAGCCATAGAAATAGGTACACACATCTGAATGTATACATTCTTGTAACATTAACTCACTTTTTAAAAATACTTCAGACTTATTGTTGTTCCTTCCGTACAGAATGAAAGAGCTTTTCACTTACATTAGAAGTTTCAGAAGTCTCAGATGAAGACTGCACTGCTAAACCTTCCTTATCAACCTGTAAGCCATTATGTAAACAGAACAGTGAACTCTTTAGCATGGGCCGTATAAGGCCCATGAAATCATTTGATCTGGCTCTGCGAAGGAAATCCCAGGCCAGACTCGAAATTCAATACTATAGCAGGCTAATTTTTAAGTTGATAATTTTGTATGGCTTGTTGATGATGTTATAAATATTCAGATAGCCTTTGGCAGAAAAAAGGTTCCTACCCCTGCTTTTAGAGTACTTTTAGTTTGTTTTAATGGTATGAAATATACTTTGGCCCTGGGATTTTTAAAATCTGAATTTTTGCCATCCGTATCAATTATAATTCTTGAGAATGTCTTTATTCACCAACACAGTCCTTTTGAGAAGGCAGGATGAGGTAAGTTGGATATTGGACAAATCAGTTCTAAGCTTTGTTCTCAGCAAAACCATCTGAAAATGGTTCTTAAGCGCATTCTAGGTGTAACTTCATATTGGAGAAGTAGCTTTCATAATACCTTCTTTAATTCTTATTTATAGATCATTGATAATTTGAAAAAATATAGCTATATTTAATTTGTATTTTGTCTACTGGAGTCTGGGTTATTATGTAAGCCTTACATCTAAATGATTTAAGAAATATATTCCATTGAAAAGTTGGCTCTATGTTTTGTGGAATTACGAGAACATAATTTTATTAATATATTCTGACTTTGTTTTACAATAATTAGGGAAGTGAACTCTACATAGAATAGTCTCTCCTATATTTTTCTTATGGGGACTTTCTTTTAAAACTTTGTTCACCTCTATGTGATAATGTTTGTATTCATGTCATAACTAAACAGGGCTGTTTGTACTTTTCCCTGAGTTTACCATGGATTGATGGAAATGAAATGCCAGTGTGTGAGGATTCAGAGCTGTTGGATATTGATGTGCTATAATTATCCCTCTGTTAGTCTTTCTCATTGTTATTCCCTCTGTCCCTTTTCTTTGTCCTTATTGTCTCATTTACTGGAATCTGGGAGATGAAGGAGGATGGGGGAGTCTAGGAGGACTGTGATAACAAGGCATAATTCCTGTCTTTCTAGTTACTGTGTAAGTGCATTGAGAAACTGACACACTGGATGACCACAGATAATCTCTATGACTCAGTGAACCTTAGGCAAGCTCTCCTTAAAGTTTGATTGTAGCTTCCCACCACAGTAATGATAATTAGGGGTCCTTGTGGGGAGCAACTCGGACTAGACTAAGTTACTGGAATTAAGACTTATTCTATGCATCTGCTTTCCCACAATATGGCGCTGAGAAGGGAAACAGCTTCTACACAGCTGCCTCCAGTTCAACCAATAAACTGTAGGACCTGCTCCTGATTGGAGGAGAGCAGCGTACTCGGCGTGTGGGTAGCAGAGTTGGGATTGGTGGAAGAGGACTATAAAGGAGGAGAGAGACAATATGCACCAGGAACATCTATCTGAGGGAACACCTGTGCAGCCCCCGAGAGAGCCGGCCGGCGGTGTGCCGCTCCCCCGCGGAAGTGGGGAAAGTGGCCAGGGGGAACCGCCCTTCCACGGAGGTGGAAGGGACGGTAGCCAACCCGGGAAGAACCAGCAGCAAACCCGGGGAGGGCCGAGCAGACAAAAGAACAGCGCAGGGTACTGTGTCGTTCCTCCACGAAGAGGGGGAGCGACAGATCCTTGGTTATATAAATTATCTGCCAATCTTTTTCAGAGAGTTGTACTATGAGACAGGCTTCACTTTACTTCTCTTTAATAGTTTTTTTTTAACAATGATATATGAAAAAAATCTCATGGTACCGTGAGCATTTGCTATGGATTTCCTGAATTAATAGTTAGCATCTTTGAATATCACCTAAGATAAACTTTTTATTGTTAGCCATTGCAGTATTGGATTTGAAAAGTAGCTCTTAAGTTAGCAGGTTTCTTTGTTCATAAATCTGTTCTTAGATGTGTTTGTTACCTCTCGTCTTCGCTTCAACAAAATATTTCCTAGTGTTTCAATGATATTGTAAGTAAAAATTTAGACGTTAAGTTTCATGTTGCTACACAAAGTTTGCTTTAGTTATAAAAGCTGTCATAAAGGCTTTAAAAATGAATTTAATTAAATACATTCAGATATTGTAGACTGTAGGACTTTACTTTTTCAAGTGTGCTTCTTGGCCTAGCAGGATCAGGATCTTGTGAGAGCTCATGGAAGCTGCAGAATCTCAGGACACGTCCTACAGTTATCTAATCAGAATCTGCATGTTAAATTTGAGAAGCACTGTCATAGGAGATGCTGCTCTAAAGTGGGGCTTTTGCTTCACTTTGAAGTTGTGTTGTTTTTAGAGAATTCCATTTCCATCTGGTATCTGCCTCCCTACCCTTCAGTCCCTTCTTAGAACTCAGTGAACCAGTATAATTTACCCATTGATTATAGGTGAGCTGAAACATGAATTGGATTTCTTTGAATAGCTGTGGCCCAAAGGTCTAGTCTTGGGAATGCCTAAAATACCTGGAGAGGAGGCAGAGGGAACCCCGAGTAATATAATTTTGATTGCTAAGATCAGAAGATAGGGAGACCATTCTACAAAAATCAGGGGGTTCTAACCAATGTAAGTGTATTGTGTAGAGAGTTTGATAGGGAAGAGATTATCATTACTAGGATGTTAGGATGCATCAGCTCTTCCTCTGACATATCAGGCCTGCTCCTGTCTTAGTCTTTGTTCCAACTCTTCCTCTTCCTGAGTGTTCTTCCCCAGGTTTCCACTCCCTGACTTCCTTCAAGTCTTTGCTCACCTCGTAACTGTTAGAATCATTCTGTTACTGCAACTTGTTCCCATTGACTTAATTCCTTTTACTCTGCACATTTTTCTCTGTAGCTTTATTAGTTATTAACATACTGTGTAAATTTCTTATGCTGGTCTGTTTTTCCACTCTTCATATAAACTGCTTGAATTCAAGTGTCTTTGTTTTGTTGTTACTTGCCAGTTGCCTAGAATAGTGGTACGTGGTACATAGTTGATGTTCAAGACTTTGTCTTTATGTGTTTGTGTATGTGAATGGTTTGATAATAGAAAATAATATGAGAAATGAAGAATAAAGTGAAATATAATGGATTACTTTGTATTGCTGTTGAAAAACAGGTAGGGTTTACCTGTTTCATGGGTTGATGACCATTTGCAATATTTTTTCAATATATAATTTTGGAAACAGTCTGCCAAATATCTGCTTGTTTAGTAAGCTGGATTTAATTTCAGTGCACTGTGTTACAGGTTGAAGACTACCAGTATTTAAATTTACTACACTAAGTTCTTAGATCATTTGTATTTACAGAAACCTTGTAGCAATGATTATCTTGTTAAACTTGCCTTTGTAGTAACAAATGTGTGTTAAAGCCATGACTTCTCTCAAATATGAGGGTTCTTAAAAATGTTCATGGAAAATAGAATGAAAAGATAAGTTTACTTTAGTATAAAAATTTTGAAACTGTATATATGAAGAGGTCCTTAAAAAGTTTATGGAAAATGCATATTATGACAAAACTCTACATGGATTTCAAGATTTTTTACAGCAAAAAAAATTGCCTTTTAATTCCATTTTCCACAAACTTTTTGAGTTACCCTTGTGCTCGTGATATTAGAAATCTGAATCTAGTATTTTTCAAAAAGGCTGTTGCTTTGTTTAATTTCCACTTTTATATCCCCTTTTGATTTTAAGATCATTTTTATTTTGTTTTATTTTTTGTTTTGTTTCATCTTATTTTTGCAGACAGGCTCGAGGAGAGAGCATCCTCAGATAAGAATGTAGACCCACTGTCTGCTCCACATAACCATCCTCCAGAAGATCCTTTTGGTTCTGTTCCTTTCATTTCTCATTCAGGCAAGTTACATATGTAACACCATCATGACCATTGCAAAAAACACGCACAGGAACCACTTCAAGCCTCATTAATGTAAAACATGAGTAAGATGCATTGTCAGTTACGAAACATAGATGAGACAGTTGTTTGAACCCGTAGCCACCCTGTTCCTCACAGTGTGGTGCTTTCCCTTGGGCTACTCAGTTGTACCTTTGCCAACATAGAAAATGCTGATTTACCATAATAGAAGCCTAACTGCTTCTTTTCACCTTGGATACTATTGAAAAAAAAATCATGAAAATATCTCTCCTTTTATATATTTAAAATACATTTAAAGGTACTTTATACTTAGCTTTTGCTTAACAACCAGAAATTTTCCCAATTTATACATATTCTCTTGTAGTTGCATTTAATAGGTATTAATGACTGTACTTGTTGCAATCATTTTGTTTTTAGGTACCTATTTCTTCTTATATCCCTGTTTTTGATTTGAACCCAAAAAATTTAAATAATGGTGTTCACTGTTTAAAACTATGTTTAGTAATAGTTTCGAAGTAATTATTTAGTTACCATTTGGGAGATAATATAAGATGGAATAGGGTCCCACATTGGCATAAATGAATTTTTGGGTATATGTGGTTATAGTGGAAAAAATGAGTTTTAATTTTGGCAAAGGGAAATAAATTGGAAGAAACCATGCTTGGTTCGAAGGTAGTCTTAGTTTAATATATTCAAGGTAATTGTCAGCTGTGTTCTTTGGTTCTGTTCCTTTTGTTTCTCACATGGGCAAGTTATATATGTAACATCATCACTCCTGTTTAAAAAAATGCATGCAACCAGTCAACAAAAGAAGAACTTAAAAATGTGAAATCAGGGAGCCAGTGCCGTGGCTCACTTGGCTAATCCTCCGCCTGCAGTGCCGGCATCCCATATGGGCGCCGGGTTCTAGTCCCAGCTGCTCCTCTTCCAGTGTCCATCTCTCTGCTGTGGCCCGGGAGGGCAGTGGAGGATGGCCCAGTGCTTAGGACCCTGCACCCACGTGGGAGACCAGGCTCTTGGCTTCCAATCGGCGCAGCGCACCGGCCGTAGCGGCCATTTGTGGGGTGAACCAGCAGAAAGGAAGACCTTTATCTCTTTCTCTCTCACTGTCTAACTCTACCTGTCAAATAAGTAAAACAAACAAACAAAAAATGTCAAATTAGTATGGGACCTGGGTGTTGAGGATTTCTGGTGAATATACTGAGGCAGTGCTGTTGGAAAAAGAAAAATTCTATCCCATGAAAATATACTCCGCCTAGCATTGTGAGATTGAAAACACATCTGGGGATTGCTAAGACCAGTGAAAGGCAAGAAACTGCCTTGGAGTATATATGTGTGTGCCCAGTAAAGAATGGAAAATACACGTGATAAGCCGTCTCACTTGAATCTGAGAGGTGACACTTACTCAACAGAACTTAAGTAACCATATGGAGAATGCTGGTTTGGGAAAAAAGATGATTTGTGTGGCAGGATGTTACAAGAATGCAGGAAATTTGAAGTCTGAGAAATGTTGATATGTACTTCGGAAGTACCTCTGTACTGAGTCTAGTGTTCCCACACTGCTTTTGTTAGCAGTTGTTCTCTTGAGTTTTAATATAAGATATTTCTGTTGAAATTCTTAACTTTGAAATATAGCAGATTAGTTTTTGCTTTGCTTTTCTTCAGTTTATCATACTTTTACAAAGTGATTTTTATATTGAAACCTTAGTTTTATTAAAATAGCATATATAATTTAAAGTCAGAGTTCACCCCAAAGGCCCCCCCCCCAAAAAAAAAAAAAACCTTACCAGCCTGCTCCTTCTGGTCACATTTCTCATTTCTCTGTTGAAGGTTCTTAATGGGTGATTGTTTTGCTTCTAGCATTTTAATATATTATGCTTATTCTACTATTTCTTAGCCCCTCACCTTCATTTTTATATAATATCCACGGATGTCTTATGGGCAGTGGGGGTAGAGATTAATTGTCCTGTTATGCCCTCTCTTGCACACTCAGCCTTGGGCATGTGTGTGTGTGTATCTGTCCATGTCCATCCCCCTCATCTTTCCAGCACAGTGTTTTTTTTTTTAATTTTTTTTTAAGATTTATTTATTTATTTGAAAGTCAGAGTTATACAGAGAGAGGAGAGGCAGAGAGAGAGAGAGGTCTTCCGTCCAATGGTTCACTCCCCAGATGTCCGCAACAGTCGGAGCTGCGCTGATCCGAAGCCAGGAGCCAGGAGCTTCTTCCAGGTCTCCCACGTGGGTGCAGGGGCCCAAGGACTTGAGCCATCTTCTACTGCTTTCCCAGGCCATAGCAGAGAGCTGGTTTGGAAGAGGAGTAACCGGGACTAGAACCTGGTGCCCATATGGGATGCCAGTGCTTCAGGCCAGGGCTTTAACCCGCTGCGCCACGTGCCGGCCCCGTCCAGCACAGTGTTGACATAGCTTTCCTTTGAATCGGTGTTCAGTGTGTACATTTTCTGAACATGTAAATATTTGTTAGCACTGAGATCTAGTAAGCCATGATCACATTTACTTTCTCCTGAAGTTGCTTACTATGTGTATAATTACTTTGGTTTTTGTTTGCTTAATTTTCTGTATACTCTTCTACTTACCCATCTCCGTTTAGAAGCATACATTTCTCCCAGTTTAAGATGACTGCCATTGTCATTTGTACTTCGTTGTAGCTCTCTTGGAGCTCTGCAGCCTAAATTGGTCGTATCCTGGGCCTCCTGCATTGCATAGTCTTGATATTTTCTTTGAATTCCTCAGTCTTCCTGAAAATTCTTGGTGGGTATCTTCTCTTTATTGTTTTGCTTTAGAGTAGCTCCTCAAGTTGTTTCTTTACAAAGTAGATGTGGAAGGAAAAGGCTTTAAAGTTTTCTCCCGGAAAATATCTTTTTTTTTCCCTCTAAACTGGCTCTTAATTGATAATTTGGGTCAGTAATTATAGTTTAGATTGAATTTTCCCTGTGAATTTTAAAGTCATTGCTCCATTGTATTTTGGCTTCTAGTATTGTTGTTGAGAAATCTGATGTCATTCTCATTCCTGGTATGTGACCTCTGATGGCTTTTTCCTTCTCTTCATAGACATTTTCACATTTTTTAAAAAAGATTTATTTATTTGAAAAGCAGAGTTAGAGGGGGAGAGAGAGAGAGAGATCTTCCATCTGCAGGTTCACTCCCCAAAGGGCCGCGATGGCCAGGGCTGGGTAAGGCTGGTGTCAGGAGCCAGGAGCTTCATCTGGCTCTCCCATGTGGGTGCAGGGGCCAAATTATGTGAGCCCTCATCCACTGCTTTCCCAGGCACATTAGCAGGGAGCTGTATTGGAAGTGGAACAGCCAGGTACCCATATGGGATGCTGGCATTTCATGTAGCAACTTAACCCATTACACCTCAGTGCCAATTTTTTGCATCTTTATTACATTCTCTGAATACTCAAGATATTGAGCCTTTTTTATTCACTGTGCTAGGAACCTAGTGGTCTTTTCAGTCTGTGAAGTTACATTTTCTTGCTTTATACCTTTTTGTAACCTTTGTTCTTTTAGGATTTTCTTTTTTTTTTTTTTTTTAATAAATATTGTTATTAGGATATTGTGCCTCCTGGATTGATTTTAAATTTAAATTCTTGGCCGGCGCCGCGGCTCAATAGGCTAATCCTCCACCTAGCAGCACCGGCACACCGGGTTCTAGTCCCGGTCGGGGTGCCGGATTCTTTACTGGTTGCCCCTCTTCCAGGCCAGCTCTCTGCTGTGGCCCGGGAGTGCAGTGGAGGATGGCCCAAGTGCTTGGGCCCTGCACCCCATGGGAGACCTGGAGAAGCACCTGGCTCCTGCCTTCGGATCAGCGCGGTGCGCCGGCCACAGCGCGCCAGCCATGGCGGCCATTGGAGGGTGAACCAACGGCAAAAAGGAAGACCTTTCTCTCTCTCTCTCTCTCTCTCTCTCACTATCCACTCTGTCAAAAAAAAAAAAAATTTAAATTCTTTTCCCCTGTTTTCTATAAAAACTTTGTCCTTTATATTAGCATCTTAAAAATTTCTTAATTTTACATAACAAACATTACTCTTATTTGCAGAGAGAAGTTTATGCTTTTTTTTTCAGATGAGATATGTTTTCATTTCTTTGTTTTGCACATTTTGTTGTGTCTTCCACTTTAATTTCTGCAAATGATTGTTAGTCCTTAGCAGCCCAGAGAAGAAAGCACTTAGTTTAAATTCAGCCCTGTAGGATGTGAAGTAGTTTACTTATTGCACCCAGCGTCCCCCATGCCTGAGAAGTCTTTAACTTGGTGCACATCACTGAGTGCAGTCTGTGGTGGGCAAGTGGGAGAAGAGGAGACCATGGGAATGCCAGACCAGTCTTGAATTTCTTGGATATATCCAACTTGACCATGATATATTAAAAAATATTGCAGGTTTTAGTTTTTAAATGTTTTTGTATTTTTTTAATTCATGAAGAATTTTGGTCTTTGACTTTTTCTGTAATGTTTTTGGTCAAGTTTTTGCATCAGAGTTAATGCTAGTCTCATAAAATGAAATGGGAAGTATAACCCATGTTTTTTCAGGAATTATTGTATGATTTATTATATTTTTTTATCTTAAACATTTAGTAGAGTTTGTGAAGCAAACCAGGTTTAGAGTTTTCTTTGTGCTATAGTTTTTGATAACATCTAATTTATTCAAAGCTACAGGGCTGCTTAGAGGTTTAGATTCTTCCAGGGTTAACTTTGAAACTTGTATTTTTCAAGAAATTTGCCCATCTCATCTACCATACTTTTTTTTTTAACTTTTATTTAGTAAATATAATTTCCAAAGCACAGTTTATGGATTACAATGGCTTTTCCCCCCCATAACTTCCCTCCCACCCACACCCCTCCCATCTCCCGCACCCTCTCCCCTTCCATTCACATCAAGATTCATTTTCAATTGTCTTTATATACAGAAGATCGATTTAGTATATATTAAGTAAAGATTTCCTCAGTTTGCACCCACGCAGAACA